AGAGGCAGAGCTAGGATCCAATGGGGATGTTGCAATAGTTACTGTGTTTGCAACAGACCAGCTGTCTCCTTAGGTCAAAAGTCAGGATGTTGATGTCCTCACAGTTGGCCATACACGACAGTTTTGAATAATAGTATAAACTCCACCCTAAGGAGGGAAAAGAATGGGAATCCTGCTGGGGTGACTGTCTCCCCCACTGGTTTTCAGAGCCTCACTAATTTGGCTCTGGGCCCTTTGGAGCTGCAGAGCTGAGTCCACGGATTTCTGACCCCAGGGTGGACTTTGTCCCCCCACCAGTGACGCACCTCAGCCAGCCCTTCACTCAATGTTGCCTTGAGGGAAATGTTGCCATGCCCTGTGGGGGGCCACCTGTCCTGATCCAGCCCACTCACATGCTCTGCGGCACAGGGGTGCCCTTGTCCCTGAGGGAAGGAGGGTGCAGACTGGGCCCCTCTGCACCCCACGCTACCTTTTATCGTGAGGATGTAAATGTTCTCGGTGGCGCAGGACTGCTGGGGGCCCCCAGGTTGCAGGACTTCATGCCGTCATAGCACAGCCCCAGGTGGTACCTTGTACACTCATAGCAGAAGACCGTAGGCTCTGCCGACACAGAAAGACCCGCTTCACGCGTGTGCTCTGGGGAGGCTTCCACGCCCCGCACGCGGCCCACCGAAGCCGCACCCTGCTGGGCAGAGCCCGTGTGTGTCTGTGGGACCGGGCTGAAGGCCGTGAGCTCCTCCCCAGCAGTTTCCTCTTGCCGACTGGCTCCTAATCTTTCTCCTTTGATGATCTCGTGAAGGACGACAGGCATACACATAAATCAAAGGTTGTGAATGGCTTCCGAGGGTCGGAGTTCCTGCAAAACTTATCTATGGACCCCCAAGTCACTAGCCCCTTGTATGGACAAAATCTAGACAGTTTTTGGTAAGTAGTAGGGAAAGGGGAGAAACAGGGGATTTGCGCTTCCTGACTACAAGAAACGGACTCCTTGGGGCTGGGAGAACACAAGGCCCCCAGGATTCTGCAGGGGGCAACGGAGGCTAGCCCTCCCTGAAGCTGGAGGGGAGGCCTACCAAGCACTGGGTGCCGGGCATGGTCTTACCTCTCAAGTGTTCGCGAAATTCCCCTGTGAAAGGGAGAAAAAATCCTTCTTGTCGTAATCCTTCATTTATCTGCCCAAGCCTCAGATCCCCAAAGCCAATTTTGGAAATCTCTCCTCCCCCAGATCTGCCCACCTCCTAACCAACAGGCGGCTCCTCCTCTGTCTCTGAGACTTACCATTACTTGTCCAGACCAGAGAGGCTATGCCCAGCAGAAACAGAAGGGACATCCTGGGACCTGGGTCGTGTTCACTTTGCTGAGGAGGGAGCTGGTCAGTCCTCCAGGGATCTGTCCTTTGGCTACTCATCTAAACTAGGAAACCTTAATATTTCAGGGACAGACAGTTCCTAGTGTTCCGAGAACCAGACCGCCCACCAGAATCTCACCACCTCTAGACGACTAACTGAAAATTCTCTTCAGTGATGAGCCCATGTACACGTATATGCAATGTCGTGTAGCTAAGCCTTGAGCTCTGCAAGGAAAGTGGACTTTCTCTTTCACATTTTAACCTTTCGGGTAGATCAGGACAGGGTTTGGACGCCTGAGTTCCTTGTAGCTCTTTTCACAAATCTAGTCACTGTCTTCAGAATAATCTCTGATTTTTCTTCGTCTCACCTAGGCTGAGACTCGGGAAAGAAAACCAGGGATTGCAGGTGGTGTCTCCAGGTGGGGGGCAGCCCTGGCGGGCTCCTCCTGTGGTGCAGGGAATGGGGGGTTTCAGGGAAAAGGTGAGCGGAGGTGACATGTGTCTGCTTTGCCTTCAGGTGACTGATTTTGTAATTAAAATAATTACAGAACACGTACCAAAGGCCAATATCACAGGAAGGGGAGATAAGCAAACCAGGACACAAACAGGAGGTCTCCCGGGTGTCAGAGCCCCGTGTTAGAGACCACGGTTGTGGGTGGGGGGCGAAGGGGGGCCATTCCATGGGACTGCCCAACCAGGACGCTCCTCTGCGGGGGGGGGGGGGGGAGGGTGCTGGGTAGGACTTTTGTCTTTTTATCCTTACCTGTGGACATTATTATTTTCATTGTTTTTAGAGATAAAGGAAGGGAGAGGAAGACAGAGAGAGAGAGGAGAGGGAGAGTAGGGGGAGAGAGAAACATCGGTTGGTTGGTTTAGTTCTTTCCTTTACTGTTTTTTCCACCAGCATTCAGAGGTGTGAGGGGCTCTATGCGAACTCCAGGTGACTTCCTTGGCCCCCACCAGAAGGTACCACCCATCAGATTTTTTAAGGACCCTCATCTCTCACTCTAGGCTCTGCGTGCACACAAATGCGCGCGCGTGCGTGCACACACACACACACACACACACACACTGGGAAGCCATGCCTGCCCGCTGGGAACCCAGGAACAAAGCGGCCCGACCCTGACTCCATGCCAAGGTCCATCCCCCCAAGACAAAGGGCAGAATTGAGACGCTCAAGGCAAGAGGTTGCTCATATGTGCTATCACCAAGATCTCAGTCGCCCACCCCGTGCCAAGACAGACCAGGGTCACAAGGACACAGTGTTCTGCTTTCATCTCTGCAGAGCAGGACAAGTGGCATCTCAGCCACGTGGCAGCCTTCTGGCCATGGGGGGTGCATTAACCAGGGTGCTGGGCCCCACAGACTCTGTCTGTGGGGTCGTGGAGAGGGTGTCTGCTGAGAGCGATACTTTCATTCATTCACATCTTCATTCAGCGGCCACGTGTTCAGGCCACCACTGTGTGCTAGGCAGAGTGCCAGGCACAGAACTTGGTAGCCATCCTCGTGATTGACATCCTAGATCCATAGGATGTCAAAGTTGTCAGGGAGCATAAACATGGTCCAACTCTCTCCTCACAGTCACACGGCTCGGCAAGGACGCCATGGTCTGCACAGTCATCCAGCACAGGTCTGCAGATCCCGAGAAAAGGCGATTTCTAGCACACCACACTCCTCTAGGAGCAGGCTCCTGTTCTCTCCCACTCCGTGCTAGATGAAGAAAGAAACTGTTCTTACAAGAAACTTGGGTGGATGCATTTCTATAAGGGAATGGGGAGTGGGTCAGAGGACCCCGATGTTTGGGTGGAGTGACGGAATCCCAGGATGTTAACTGGAAGTACAGCCGACCCTCGCTATATCGCGACTCAGTTACCGCGGCCTCGCTCTATCGAGGGTTCCAGTGAAGCCGCAATCAGTGAATGGAGCTGTACTGAGGGGGCGGCTGTACACTTCACTGGTGAGTCCCCAGACAGAAGTTTATACGTTGTTAAAATTACGTAGGTTTAGAGTGAGAAAGTGTTTAAGAGCATACGAAGTGTTTGTAAGAGTGTGGGAAAGGTGAATAAGATGGGGTTTAGGGAGCCCTGGGAAAGGTTCAGTGGGAAAGGTTTATGGGAGTGTGGGAGGAGTTTATAAAGCCTTAAAGTATATACAAATAATACAATAAATACAACGCTGCTACTTCCCGATTTCCACCTATCTCGGGGGTCTCTGGAATGTAACTCCCGAGATAGGTGAGGGATCACCTTAATCCAGTCGAAGGGAGACTCAGAACTCAACCGGCCCTTCAGAAAGCACCTGCCACGGGGAACTCCACGGAAGAAGAGATATCGTGCAAACCTGTTGCGGTTTCCTAGGATGTCTGTTTCTGGAGCTGTGATCCTGGAGCCGCTGTCCTTAAACACACCAAGGGGAGGAACACTGATCATCTTGTAAACCCAAGCCTCCAAGGGTCAGGCCTTTGCCCTCGTGACAAGCCTCAGGGAAGTCCCGAAAAGCTCCACGCAGTTTGTGGCATCCTCACTGCAAACACGGCCGAGAACGGAAAAGGCTGCACCATCTTGCCCTCCAGGTCGAGACTCGATTGGCTTCAGAAGCCCTCCTGTCTCCGTCTTGTGGCTCTCTTCCTAGGCAAGGATGTTTGTCAATTTTCTAGCATTTGACCCGGAGCCTTTATACACGTGATCTGTGTCCCATGTCCCCAAAGGTCAGATAGGGCGTGTTTTATGCAAGGCATTATTCCCACAAGTAAAGAACACGTGGTTGAATCTGCTGGGTATGGAGGAGTCTTAGCATCCCTAGCGCAGGTGCCACCAGCTCACTGACGGGCGAGGGAGGTTTAGAATGCCAGCCCCGGCCAGTTTCCCGGAGACTCACCCAGGGCGAACCTTAACCAAGTTCCCTTCGGTGCGGAATGCTCACCTACATCATGGGCAAAACTGGCCAGGTGCACAACATCAATGTGCTAGAGGTCGGGTTGTGGGATACGTCCCAGGGGGGACTTTCACAGCCTTACAAAGTGAATAGTCCCTGGGCTGGGAGGCTGGATTTCTGGTCAAGGGAAAGAGTTCTGGGCCGGGAATCAGCAGCCCTGGTGCAGTCCCTGTTGGGTCATAGATTATAGGTCTTGCCATCTCCTCCACCCTCCTGTTCCTCACCCACAAGGTAAGGAGTTAGGGGAGCTGGTCTGAGCTGCTCATCGCCCTGTTCTCCCGCGGAGCCCCTGCGTCCCAGCCGCGCAGCGCTCCGTGCGCGTGTGTGTGTCGAGTGTGCGGATGAATCCCCGAGAGGCGTGCCTCAGCATGGGGAGAGCGCAGCCTCTCGCGGCAGATGGTCTTGCTCCGAGCACCTGCACCGTCGGTCGGCAGAGGTGTGTCCTGAGTGAGATACTGAAACCTCTCCAAGACCCGGTTGCCCGCTGTGGGAAATTGGAACAAGAATTGTAATATCGTGGCTGTAATACTAATTGTAACCACTAGGATGAACCCCCAAAGGCAGCCTAGTGTAAAGGCCAGCATTTATCTCTCAGCCCTCATTGTTCTGTGCTGGGGGCGGAGAGAAGCCAGCTTGAGCTCCCAGGGGAAGCCTCGTGTGATTGGCTGGCTGCCTTGCCCATAAATGACCCCCTGCCCTGCCCTGCAGACAGTCTCCTGCCTGTTGCCTAAGGACCCGGACTTGCTGACCCCGGCTTCTTTCCTCCCTGGGCAAGCGACTTCTGCGTCAGGATGGACAGACACGTCCTGTTGGTCTTCTTCCTGTTCTGCTGCTTTGCGGGTGAGTCACGGAGCTGAGGAGTGGGCTCCAGAGATGGGTTTAGGGAGCCCCAGGAATCTTCACCTGTGTAACAGGGACCCAGGCAGGGCTGAGCCTGGACTACATTTAAGGGAGGGGAAGTGAGCCTTCGAAGCCAGCCCTTTGCCTTCCTGGCCAGCTTCCTGCCCTTTCCACGGTCTGCCAACACTCTCGGCAGGGGCTGGGGCCTCTGCAGCCGCCCCTTCTCACTGCCTCCCTCCCCCCCTTTCCCTACCATTCCCCACAATCTGAAATCCCGACAGGGTTTTCCCTGGGACGCACTTTCCATTTGGAAGTCTGTATGCATATGTTCGGGGAGCCGGTCACAGTCTAGGAAATAATTTTGCTGGACAATGGTCTTTGCTATCCTTGTCAGGGACCTTCTATTAAAATGCAAAGAAGTGATTTCAGGAGAGCAAATACTACGCACTCTGAGTCAATCAGATAGAAGAACCACGGCTCAGTCACTGCCTCTAGTGTGCTGTGCTTTGGGCTGCTCACCTGCGAACCCGGGACACACCCACTCACAAGGCTTCTGTGGGCCAGCTACAGACTAAGGGAACGTGGCCCCAGTGAGACGCTCAATCCACGCGGCTGTGTCTTCTCACGTGGGTGCACCGAGATAGGTGTTTCCAAAGAATCAAGCCTCTACCTTGTTGAGCTCCCCAGTGTCAGGTAAAGTGTCCCAGCCTGTGCTGTCATTCCCGAGGCCTTCCCAAGGATTCAGGCTGGATTTCAGAATAGCAACTTCTACCACCTAAGGACCTCTGAGCAGCGAAGGTCAGAAACCCCGTCATGGGAACGCTGGCTTGGGAAAACTGCCGTGCAGCACTCACTCGCAGCCTCTCGTTCCTGCCAGCCCGTCTGCAGTGCTGCCGAACAGGCCAGGGTGGCGTTCATGAGCCCGTGCTTACACTGGAAAACCAAGGCCATGAAGACTAGATCTTTGCTCAGTTACCCAGAAGAAATGGCTTCAGTTGGGGCCAGAATCCTTTCCCTCTCCTGAAAGCATTTCTCTGGGGCGTGGAGTTGGCGATGACCAGACCCCCACCACTGGGTCCTCCTCCACTGCCTGCCACCCCGCACCACCCGCCCTCTGCCCCCAGACCTGCCCTCTGCCTCAGACCTGCGTCTCTGCAGCCCCCTGCCAGCCTGTGCATCCCTGGCCTCACGCCAGCCCTGTGGTCTCCAGCAGGGACAGCGCTCAAGTGCATAACCTGCCACCTTCACCTGACCTCAGATCGCTGTAGAAGTGGCTTTGGAGTTTGTGTTGCTAAGGAGGAAGAGAAGTGTATGACTTTAAAGGTCTACAACTTCGGTAAGCCGGAGGGCCAGGGTGGGGGGGGTGCGGTGAGATCCTTACAACATCTTCAGGAGAGTGCTTCAGCAATTTTACAGCCCAGACTAAAGCCCGTCCAGGAGAGGGACCGAGGTGCAGAATGCACCCAGCACAGGTGCTGGTGGGTGCAGACAGAAGGGAATCAGGGAAAATGCGACAGGGGGAGAGAAGGCGGGGTTTCCACATTCCCCAGAAAACTGGCCAATGGAACTGCAGCTCTGCAGACACCAAAGCGCTGGCTGCTGATCTTCTGGCAGGGAAAGCAGTGAAGCCGCTGGGCAGAGAGCCCAGGCCTGTGAGGGACCTCAGGCCAACAGCCGCTGCCAGAGCCGGTGGTGTCGGCGCCACCTGCTGGGGCCTCCCGGAGAAGTCTGAGCTGGACAGGGTCCTGAAACCTGCCCTGGGGCCTGGCTACATTCTCCCCGACTGGGCAGGTGCCGGGTTTGACTTGTCTGCAGAGAACCGTGTCACTGACTTACTGCCGCGGCTGCTCCTTCCTCCAGGACGGAAACACCTGCTGTCCTACATGGTGTGCCAGAGGTTCTGCAGAGCCATGAAGTTCCTGCACCACGGTCGGTATTTCTTCCACGAGTGCTGCGACCAGAATTACTGCAACTTCAAACTGGGAGGTGCGTGCCATCCCCAGGGCTCCCTCCAGAGTGTCACTGATGCTTCTCCTCCTTGGCCCTCTGCCTGCCCCTGGTCCTTGCCTGGCCCACTCTGGTAGTAGCCCCGCTCCCTCGTGCATTCCTTCCTGGTCACCCCCCACCCCACTGGGCTCCTTTGTTGGTCGGAGGGGAAGGATTCTCCACAGCAGGTCCCCCCCTTGCAGGAACTGGCGCGACCACACTCCAAGGAGGCGACCCCCGAGAGGCCCAGTGCAGAAACATTGACAGGACTATTCTAGAACCTTGTGATTCGCTTGGATCGTTGAGGTAAACGAGAACTCCCTCAGCTAAAAATTCACAAGTGTTTATTTTTCTGTAAAACATGAATTTATCTTTACTCGAGTGAAGCAAGAAATAGGAACACCTTGGATGGGGACCCTCACGATTTTCCTCTATGGACACGACATTATTTTTCCCAGTGGATATTGTCCACTGCAGACTCAGGCATGATTTCCTCGGCCTTGACAAAGGATATCCACCCCCAGTGTCAGTGGGACACGGCAGATTAGGGCTTTCCTGCTTCTGTGGCCTTCCTTGCTCACACATGGCTGTGGGGAGAAGGACCAGTGCAAAGCCCTTGGTCCGGTCAAGGTAGCACACAGTGTCTAAAACAGAGCGGGGTCACTTATGCCAACTAACATGGCTGTCAATCAGTCATGTCACTTTGGTTCAAGAGGAAAATGACCTAGGTCAGAGCAGACGCGTCTGGAGAGGAGACATATGTGCCCAGGTGTTCAGAGCAGCCGCGTCTGCCAAGTGGGACCACCCATGCATAGGCTGCTGGGGAAATTCCCCCCCTGCCAGCCAGGCTGTCAAGCAAGCAGAACAGCCGTGTACCACCCATGGGCTCCTGGGCAAATTCCACCCCTGGCCTCAGGGGTGTCAAGGCATTTATGGAAAGGGCCCGGAAGGGTGGAGTTCACCACTCTCAAGGTATAACCCAGGCAGGCTCCAGACCACTGCTGAGACGGCGGAGCTCCACGCCCCAGGTGCTGCCCCGCGCCACACTGGTCTCCCTTGGCATCAGCCCCCGGAGGCTCTGCCCTGCTGGACTGAGGACTCACCTGCCCCACTGCCCACCTGGCTCCGGAGATGTTTCCTTGCATGACGCTGACGACTTCCGTGCAGACTGCCAGACCTGCAGATGGAGATTCTGGGACTCGGGCTCATCATCCCCCATTGATTGCTGTGTGTGTGTATATGAGATATTTCTCTTTGACTGTTCAAGTGTGAGAACGATAGGAATGTGTGGTGTTCTGCTTTGGGTGAACCTGCATTCAGTGAAAGCTGAGTGAAGAGCATAGTTACTGTGTGTGACTGTTGCCTGTTCCTTGGCACCGGGCTGCTCAGCAGGCAGTGAGCTGAGCAGTCTCCTGGTCGACTCACAGGAAAGACGACACCAGGAAGAAGACACTCGTGACAGCGGCCCTTGCCAGCTTGTCAGGGTGTGCACCCCACACTCATCGCTCCTCTCCTTTCTCCCTCCTCCTCACCTCATCTTTCTCCATTCCCCTTTTCCTTGACATCCACCTCCACTATCACCTCCCCAGCACCCATGCCGTTGCTGTCCAAATTCTCCCTCTTCTGAATACTCTAGCCCCTTTATTGATACTTTAAAAAATAATCCTCACCCAAGTTTATGATTATTGGTTTTAGAGAGAAAAGAAGGGAGAGAGAAATGTTGATGTGGGAGAGAAACAGTCATTGGTGCCTGCTGTACGCACCCCAGCCAGGGACGGAACATGCACCTGAGGCTTGGGCCCCAACCGGGAATCAAACCTGTGACCTTGTGGTGCACAGGACGATGCTCCAACCACTTGAGCCACCTGGCCAAGGCTGGATGCTTTTCTTGACACTCTCTTCTAATGGTTTCTCTAATTTGCCCCAGCCAGTTATAAACCGCAGCAAGAGCAGGGACCAGGACTTACTCATCTCTGCTGTTTAACTGGACACCCAGTGAAACTGATGGACTTTTTCTCTTGCGTCTCTTTAGTCCGCAGCAGTAACAAGGCCTTGGTGCTTCCTCTAGCTGCATCCACTATGTCCAGTGTACCGGGAATGGTAACTCCTACTTTGTACCCGGTGAAGAACGTTCACTCCGGGTGTCATATACCACGTGCTTTCCTCAGAGTTCTTGTTTAACAAACCCTCCAGTATTTAAATATCTTAACCAAAAATTGTTTTTGATGGGATTCTTCAAAAACTCGCTAGCTATCTTTACTTCAGAATTGATCGTCGATACCCTCATCGTGCCAAGGTCTTATAAAGGAAACCTGCTCATCTGGGGAGGGCCATCTGACGCTGCTGGGAGTGGCTGAAGGCTCGCGCTTCCCGGATTTAACGATGTCGAGCTGATCGCGTGGGTTTTTCTCAGATTCCACTTCACAAGGGAAACTCTCCCTTCAGTCTCTCGCCTCGCAGGGTTGGCCTCCCTGATCATGAGAAACTAGGTCCATTACTTATTATGAGTAGGAATATAGTAACTTCACCTTCTTGATTAAAGTACAAATCCCACACAATAAAATCATCTGTTGGAAGTATGCGATTTGACGTGATTTGACAAATGTGCAAACCTGTAGAACCAGCACTCTAATTAAAGTATAGAACACGTGCATCAGCCCCGGAAGTTTCTTCAGGCAGCCATCCACTCCCCAGGTGTCCTTTCAACGTATATCACCATGGGATAATTTCACGCATTCTTAAACCTACTATAAATAAAATGATACAGAAAGTACTCTCTTGAGACTGGTTTCTATTATTCACCATGACATTTTAATATTATCTTTTTGTATTTTTTCTTTTTTTAAAGATTTTCACTTTTTAAATATTTTATTTATTTATATTTAGGGTGGGAAGGGAGGGAGAAAGAGAGAGAGAGAAACATCAATGTGCGGTTGCTGGGGGTCATGGCCTGCAACCCAGGCATGTACCCTGACTGGGAATCGAACCTGCGACACTTTGGTTCTCAGCCCGCCCTGAATCCACTGAGTCATGCCAGCCAGGTTCACCATAACATTTTAAAGATTAACGCAGGTTTTTTCTTATACCACAAGGTGGATCTTTTTTTCCACTCTATACATACACTACAATTTATTAAATTAATTTGCCTATTGAGGGACATCAAGCTCTGTCCAGGTTTGGGCTCTAGTGAGCAAAGCTACCATAGAATTCTTATATAAACTTTTGGTGGACATATACACTCCTTTCTGTTGGGTAGGTAATGAAAAGTAAAAGTTAAGAGTCATGGGGATAGCGTACGCAAAACTCTGAACAAAACTGTGAAGTCGTTGGCCGAAGTGGTGGGGCTGGTTTGTAGCCGCCCCTGTGCTCTGCAGGAGTCCACCTCCCCGCCACTTCCCCGCCACTTCCCCGCGCCAGTGGTTGCTGGTCACTGGAGTTTCAGCTGGGCCAGTGGGCGTGAAGGGCATATTGCATTTTCCAAATAATTAATGAAGGCTAGCCACTTTTTATGCCCCAAGTTAGAAAATCATTCACCCATGACTTCTAATATGTATACACATGAAAATGACCATTTAGATTCTCCATTTAGAATTGATCTTTGTAAGAAATTGATGCAATTCAATCTATTCCTCTATGGCTACTTGATTAGCCCAACATTTATTGAAAAGTTTCCGTTTTTCTCAGCTAATTTGAGATGGCTCTTACATAACACACTGAGTTTTAATTAGCACTTCCCTCCAATTCTGGGTCCTCTACTCAGTTGCATTTTTCTCCCCGTTGCCTCTACTTCACGACACACACACACACACACACACACACATTCAAAGGGGACTGTAGGCTGGAGGTGAAGATGAAAACGATAACATTTCTAAAAGACAGCATAGTATGCTTTTATGACTTGGGAATAAGAAAGGTTAGTTACCTGTGATGTGCAAAGCAAAAGCATTTTTAAAAATTCATAAGGTTCATGTCATTCAGTTAACACTGTTCGTTCTTCAGCAGCACGACTAAGAGAGTGGAAACCCCGGTGAAGGCGTGGGCAAGACATCTCTAGTACTCACATCCCACACGGAACTTGTTGCCGGAACACACATATCATTTTTCACCCTTCCTAGACAGACAGAGTGGAAGGAATTTGTCACCTACCTTACAAGAAACACTGAAAGGAGGTATTCCAGCTGAAATGGAATGATGTAATCAATGACAGGAAAGCAGACAGAAATACGTCACGGACTGAGACAGGCCAATATCCCGTCAGACTAGAGATCTGATAGGATGGCGTGTTTGTCACGTAACTGTGGTGCCGAGGTCCAAGGACACAGCACTAAATATAATTGTAGCTACTATAACTTGTTCATAAATAAGCAATAGAAAAAAGGCGCACGATGACATCAAAATATAAAAAGGGGAATAAGAAAAGGGCGAGGCTTTTGTAGATGGTCACAGTTTTGTTACAGACAGCTCAAACTGGACCACTTTATCTGTGAGATATCTTACATTAGACTCCTGGTGCACACAAAGCGAAAACCCAGAGGAGACGCACAGGAGACAGAGAAGGGGGAGGCGAGCCAGGCACCGTGGGAAACACCAGTGTGCAAAAGGTAGGCAGGAACACGGGGCGAAAGAAACAATATAAATGCAAAACAACTGGAAAGCAATTAAGTGAGTGGCCTTAGTCCTTATATCCATAGGATCTCTATATGTAAATGGATTGAATTCACCAGTGAGAAGACACAGAGGGATGGAACGGCTAAAACAGAAGACGCCATGTTCGCTGCCTGCCAGAGATTCACTTCGGTTTCATAGACACACAGGTGAGGAGATGGAGAAAGACATTCTGTGCAAGTGGAGACCAAAATGGACTTTGAGCCACACACTGGAACAAGAGACAAGGTCAATATGTAATGATAAGGGGGCCCATTTATCAAGAAGAGGAAACCAGCATTCTGACCACAATGCTATGAAACCAGAAATCAATAAGAAGATGAAAATGGAAATCTGAAAATATGTGGAAATAAAAAAAAACACCAAAACACTCCAGAATAACCAATGACACTACGAAGGCATCAAAAAAATAAACAAAATATAGCTATTTACGTTTTAAAAAATTACAGTTGAACAACTGTATTTGAACAACAATAAAATAATTTAAATAAAAATTACAGTTGGAGCACAATATTATATTAGTTTCAGGCATAGAACCCTGTAATTAGACTTTTATGTAATCATGAAGTAATCACCCTGATAAATCATCCCAACAAATCACCCCCATCTGACACCCTCCATGGTGATCACAATATTGGAGACTGT